TGCAAAAGCAAACAGACATTTCCGCCCTGGAAGGATTTTGCGTGTAAAAGCCAATGTGGAAATGCACACAGGCTTGGGCTGTGGGACATATATCACGGCTCTCCCGGTCTAGCAAAGGGGTGGTCGCGGACTGGAGATCTGTCCGTCCCTTCATCATGCCTGCCTCTCCCAGCACCATCTTCAACCACTTCTCAAAGCTTCACAGCCGGGCCACGTTCAAATCTGCATTCATGCATTAAACATTACCAAAACAACAAATCCACACTGGTCTAAGGCTCGAGAAGTGCAGGCACAATTATGCTTTGCTTTTCCTTAAGGAGAGCGTGAGGCAAAGTACATAGTAAGGCATCGCACCACAAGAAGCCTCTTGAGAAGACACCGCGTTGAGTGGGAACAAGGAGCCATCGTTCAAGCACGGCACCGCTTTTCACTTGGGTTTACCTCTTTACTTGGGTGACTCTTACCCACAGCACCAGTACTGCCGAAAAGGATTTACCCCAAGGAAAACACTCCTCGCCAACCCAACCGCCCCCAAAGCAATCCCCCACCTCACCACGGAGAAGCGGGGGGAAAAAAGTGCTAAACAAAAAACATTAAAACTTTTGTTTTCATTGGAGAAACTGCAAAGTGACAGCAGTTTCAGGTTACACCCTAAACCTGCCTTGCTATGGTAGTTTTTCAAATTAAAATATCTTCTGTGGCCTCAGCCACTCTCGAGCCGTCCATAGGCAAGAAAGAAAGGAGGCAGGGCAACACTTAAGCTCAGCCATAATTGGAAGTATGTGAAAAATGAAGTGTCAGTTCGGTCAATAAAGGGCAAAGGTGAAGGGGAACTGCAGCCCAAACTCGGTGCGAAATGTGCTCATTAAGACACCCAATCCGCGGGCTCCTGCCCACCTATCCCATTAGTCATCAGCCATCTGACCGCTTCAAATGCCTTGCCTCCCCGCTCTTATTACTTTTCTTCTCCCATGTTAGAAAAAAAAAAAAAAAAAAAAAAAAAAAAAAAAAAAAGGCAAGCTGGTATATAAATCCTTGCTCAGTCGTCTGGAACATAATGTGGCCCTTCTCTCCCCCTCCGCCCGGCTCTGCCGCCTGCCTTCGCAGCCTCCAAACAACCGCCTTGAGATTCCCGGCAATAATAAACGCGATTGCCTTTTTGCCTATAGGTTGCCCGAACTCCTACAAAAGCCTGAAAAAAAAACCCCCAACATTGCAGCCATTGATACATTTTTATAAAGAAATATCGCCGCTTTATACTCCCGGCTTGAAAAAGCAACAATTATTTGGAGGTTAAAAAAATGTTTTGAACCCAGGCCGAGGCTTGCACACAAAAAAAAGGGAAAGAAACAATATGCACAAACAGGAGACACTGATGGATTTATTTTCTTTTTCTTTTAAGCCATGTAGGAGAGCTAAACATGGGAGTTAAAGAGCCCCACTCTGGATTAACAGTGACTGTACCAGGGCTTTGTTCAGCATCCTCCTGGCCTGACTATTTGAAAAACAAACAAAATGGATCTGTTAATACCCCAAAGAGGAATCTTTTGAAGTTAGAATATGCAGTAAGATAAAATAGTGTTGCTGTGAGCTCAGCATCACCCGCCTGTACCTAAGAACTTGCTTCTCTTTTTTTTAATAGAATTTAGCAAGTTATTTCTCCACTGTGTAAATTCAGATCTCTTTGCACCATTTGGAGACAGACCTCCAAAGGCCCTTCACGATAAGTTCAGAGCAATGGGAAAACAGCCCACGAAACTTTTTCATAATATTATTCTGCATTCCTGTACTATAACTATCCCCTATGATGACACAATACCAGGCCTTTATAAGAGGTTGTGTCAACGTGCTATGCAATAACATATCCTGCTGTTCAGTGGCACGAGACCCCAGAACAGCTCCCTAGCAGCTAAATATGGATTTCTACAATAGATCGAAGCAGCTGGGAGTCATTACTATTTACTAAGTAAATAAATTTACATGTTAAAAAAGACTTTAAAATGTTTAGAGGAAAGAGCATCTCTCCCGTTTTCAAAGGTAATCGTTCGATGTGTGTTGTGCATAGGGACATAAATAGGTTAAAAATGCACTTTGTGGGGATTAAAGGCAGTGAGGAATCAGGTAAAGAAGAAAAATTTCCAAAAAGTCCAAAAATAGACCTTAACGTAGGCTGGGTTAAGGACTAAGGGAGAAAACCTTGCTAAGGGGCTTAAGCTTTCCACTCTGTGTGCCTCTCTGAAAATGCAAAGCTCGCACTCACGTCCTTGTGATACCTTCAGCCAGGTTGGAAACCCGTCCCAGAAGGTGCTTTTACCTACCCCGACAGGGGAAGTAGGTTGTGGGAACAACCTAAAAATAGACAGTTTTAGAGCATTATATTTCTGGTGATTAGATTTGTTTTTTTTAAATGGCAAATGCGCTTTTGACAGATGGAACAAAAAAAAGGAACTTTTACGAACTCCTAAAAATAGGGAAGCCCATAATATACTGAATACATGCCACGCAACGCGTGCATCTCGAGTCAACTCCTGCGCTCGCAAGCATGAACATGCGGGTCCCCAGCCTTTCGCTGCCACCCCTCCACAGCACCCGGCTGCTGCGGCAGTGCCATGCTGGCTGCTTCTGCTGTGAAGAAAAGCATCCGGCAGAGGCGAAACCGTGAGTTTGACCACAGCGTTGCCGCTCCTCACATCAGGCCACAGAAGAAAAGCCTCCGAATCACGGCATTTTGAACTTCAATGTAGTTGGGGAGAGGCAGGGTATTTACTATCTTTTTTTTTTTCCTCTTCCCTTTTGGTCATTCAGGATCATGTTTTTTTGACTTCTTCCCCACGCGGGAAGGCTAAAACCATGCTTTTTTTACACACGGTGTATATGCAGGCGTGGGTGTGCCTAAACAACTGAGATTCCCTGATAATCGCAGCCTTCAGAGGGCTTCGAGCAAACAAAACGTAAAGCAAGGCTCAGCGAGACCACCGCTACCCTTCCCGCATCCCCATTCCTCAAAAAACCCGCCATTTCCATAGGTGGCAAGTGGCCTGAAGGCAAGTCTCGGTAACGGAGACCCTCTGGACAGCGTCTCCTTTCCAAAACTCCTTTCCCAAACCTGACCTGAGAGCTCCAGTTAGCAAATTCCCGCTTTTTTGCTCTTTCCTAAAGTTTTAAAGCAACGAGCCTTCTTCACAAAATCCGTCTATCAAGTCCTGGCAGCAATTCCAGCCTCGATAAACCTTACTCTAGAATTTGGGCAAAAGTTTCAGAACCAGCTAAAGCACTGCTGACAAGTCTTTCTGTCGATATTTAATAGGACTCAATCTCTGAAGTCACTTCAGAAAACGCCTCCTGACCGAGGTTATAGCATGCACCTTGCTAGGAGCCGACCAGGATGGCGATGATGAAACATTAGATACGACTGGCACTCCGGACTAATAAAATGCCACATTTAGGAGAAAATGAAGCCTGAAAGTCTTAAGAAGTACACAAGGAACTGAGAAGCTCGATTTCCAAAGTGCGCAAGAGGTTTAGGAGCATGCTGGCAAGCCTCCCCGCAGATGTTTTGTCCACGCACATATACACATAAACACGTGCACATCTGTCTAACAAGAGAACAGCCCTATCTGAGTATAAAACCCCCCTCCAAACACCATGTTTTAGTTCAAAGCCTATTTTTGCAGCAGCTTTTTCACCCTTAAAAAACCCAGGGATTTAAAGTTTGCTCCGAAAGCAAGGGGCTCTAATGAACGTATTGACACCACTTCAACTATAGCATTGTGAACAGCACCACTACAATATATACGTATACATACTTGAAAGAAAAAAGGCCCCCTGAATTTATGTTGCATATCATTTTCCAGTAAAAGTCAGAGGTCAGAAGGTTACCAGTTTCTGCCTCAGCTCTGCAACAGTTTACTATTCCAGGCCCCGTTTTTACTAGGCTATACTTGCGATGAAGTCAGCAACTTTTCTTTAAACAATAAAGTGTCTCAAATACTTAAAATTCTATAAAGAGATGTTATTCACCATGTACGTTAGGTCCATGTGTATAAAAAATAAAAATAAACTGGTTTAGTTTAAAAACTAATCTTGTTAAATGCAGACTTTGCAATGCTAATCAGTGCTGCTCAAACTTTTTTTGGAAACACAATTCCTTTGTTGTCTAACAGCACTTGAATGAAACATGATCATAAAACCAGATTTAAAAGTATATACCTATTGTGAGTTCAGAGTCAACTTCAATAAAGCACTCCCTTTTATATTCAGATTAAGGATCCCTTTTAAATTTTAATTGCATTAAATTAACACTAAATCCACTGCAGTTGGTCTCTTCAGAAAAAGTATGAAGCATTTAAACAGCTTCTCAGGAAAACCCAGAACTTCAGTTTTTTAGATTTCGGAGCTTCTGAAACAGCACTAATTATTTGTAGTATGTCCCACTTCAATTGCACCAAGCTCGTTTCATACTCATCCTGCTAAATCAGTTACTCTGTTTGCCTTGGCACCCAAACAAAACATTTTTGCATTCAAGTAAATTGGAATTGAGTAAAAAAAGTAAATAAAAGCACTGCTCAGGATTTCGTAAAACGGGCCAGCTAACATCTCATCTTTATACGCAGCGAAGTTTCGATGACATCTTTGAAATATTAGCATGCATTTCTGCGATCTTAATTACATTTGCTTTTGAAGATTTCATCTTTTAACCCATTTGAATGAAGAAAAAAAAAAAAAACTTCTCATTGCTTATTTTTATTAAGCATACTGCAAATTTGGTACATATGTTGCTCTAACATGTGCCTGCTGGCAGGGTCGAAGAAATAAAGATGCCAATCCTTTTACTAGGAGGAGATAGAAAAAAAAAGTGTCAAAAAAAAGGAAGATAGACCTTTCTCAACACAACCCCCCTAGTACCTGAGCACATTTCAACATCGGAAAGAGAGTAACCGGTCCCTGAGCGCATCGGTGACCGCTCGCCAGCTAAGAAAGCACAAGGGCTCCGTTCCTAC